GTAAGGGTTAGGGTATCATCGCATGAATACGTAGTTACAACATCGCCTGAACTCGTAATTCATAGTAAGGGTTAGGGTATCATCGCATGAATACGTAGTTACAACATTGCCTGAAAATTGTAATTCATAGTAAGGGTTAGAGTATCATCGCATGAATACGTAGTTACAACACCGCCTGAACTCGTAATTCATCACCTATTGGTTATGAACCTGTTGGTGTTTCCACATGACTGTCTAGAATAGTCCGCGGTCACCATCTATACTCTGGTAGATGACTACATTGCCACATTGCCACATCGCCGATCAAGGTTATGGTATCTCCTCTCATCTCACATCACCTATTTATCATCACCTATCTATCATCACCTAATTATCATCACCTTTCTATCATCACCTATCCCTCATCACCCATCGCTACCCAATATATATTTATAAGTATAAAAACACGTATGCAGTTTAAATTACGTAAACATGTATAAATCATTCATCTAGCATAGATATCATGAACACAGATAATATGCACACATAGCACGTAATTTATAATAAATACTTCATATTTATGTGTAAGATGAAAGTAATTATGCACTCACTTGTTAAAGTGATGATTCCAAACTCGGGCAACGCTTTGCTTCTAATGATTTTTTTTTCCTTCAACGAAACCTAGTATCATTATTGCTAGATTTTAGTCTAATATTTATAGAGATTATTTATGAGGGATATTGTTTTATAAGTGTTAAACAATACTTTTCAACCACTATGTACAGACAGAGGCCAGACATGAAACACCGAAGGGCAGGACCATTTTGGCATTATAGCACTTCTGAAATCCAACAACCCTATACGGCCCTTCAAACAAGATTCCCCGTACCGCGAGTAGTTAAAAGATATTATAATAAGACTTTGTATATTATATTTTATAATATATTTATTGTTTATAAGTTCATAATAATGATATTGAACTTAAACATAAGCTATACTTGAAGTAGGGTAAACATAACTAACTTACCGGGAGGTTTGGCTAGGAACCGGGCTTTGCGGGGGCAGAATTTCCGAGATGAAAGATCTTATTCTCGGAGCCTTCTAATGCTCTGGGGATTTTCCTCTAGCACCTTGAAGTTACTAGGGCTTTGGGAGGGTTTTGGGAGGCTTAGAGAGAAGTTAGAGAGAGAAGTGAAAGGGTTTTGGTGTGAAAAATGAAGGCACTCTCGCATGGTATTTATAGGCTGGAATAGGGTCAAAATCGTCGAGTTGGTGCCACATGTCACCATCTGGTGGCAAGACGTGGGGAGAAAGCAATGGCTCAGATCGCGCCATGTCACCCATTTCACAGCAACACCCTTCCTACTTCTAAATTCTGTAACTTTCGCATATGAGTTCCATTTTCGACGTTATTTATATTCACGCTTAGGTATTGACAATATCTACAACTCTCCTTTTGACTCCATCAGTTAATTCTCGACTGATTTTAAATTTAACAGTATGAGAAGATTACACTGCTAACGACCGTGTAAAATTCATAACTTCTACATACGGACTCTGTTTTCGACTGTCTTTTTATTGTTGAACTCCTATTAATGAAATCTTCAATTATCATTTAGGTTGTGTCGGCTAAAAATCGATCGAACTAAGATTCGATTTCCGGGCTGTGCACTGATATGCTAAATCCTAGAAAATCATAACTTTCTCATACGAAGTCAGATTTGGACGTTCTTTTTATTTACGTTCTCGGTTTAACATATACTACGACTTTCGTTTAGATTCCTAAGGCTAAAAAGTAATTTATCAAAAAATTCACTTTTTACATTACGCGGTGTCGTGCCGGTTTAGCCGTAAAACTTCAACGAGTCATAACTTCTTCGTTATAACTCGGATTTCGGCGTTCTTTATATGTACGGAACCCTTGTGGCATATACTATAACTTAGTTAAGATTATTTATTCTAAATAATCTTCTATCAAAATGTCATTTTTGACGCTTCTTGTCTCTAAATTGACTAGCCCGAATCTGCGGGCGTTACATAACATAATTTATACCCCTAAATCAGATTCAATATGTGATTCAGGTCAAACCAAATCCTTATACTCTTTCTCTCCCATCGTTACGTCTCTCTCTTATTCTCTCACTCCCCTTTATCCAGTCTCTAACGCTATAACCTGAAAGCTGCCATTGCCGATCGATCTTGTTGCTGCGATGGTCCAGTCCGATCATCGTTTTTATTACATTAACGACCACTATTGATGGTGAAGGCGAAGATGCTAGAACAAAATCGGTATAAATTTGTTTGTGTTGACCTGATTCAAGTCGAAGTCGGAGAGAACAATGACACATATGTTCCTACAACCTTTAGAATTGATTTCTACAATCGTTTTGTCATTATCTATGCAATCGATTTCTGCAATCGTTTTCAAGCCGATTTTTAATGCCACCGATTTCTACAATCGATTTCTTCCCTTACTGTGTTCGATGATTTCAAACCTGGTAAGTTTTAGAACTCTCTGGTGTTCATATTCTTTTGGTTCTATTAATCTGATCTTCCAATGTAATAGCTAGAATAAATTACTGTATTTATTTCTGTTGTATTTTACTCATTCTTGAGGTAGTCTTTGTGTAATTTTTTTTTTCTATTTAAGTATTGGATCCCCTCCATTGTGGGGCATCGAAGTGTCTCTTACACAAATGGTATTGGAATTCAGTGGGTCTTGACCCTTTCCCTCCTTTCCTCTCGATCTTTCTTCCTTCCGGCTCTGTTCTTTCTTCCTTCCCGCTATCAAATTTTTTTCCTGTGATGTCTTCCTCTTCCAACGATACTACCTTACCCATGAACACTCTACTCCACATGATCACCATCAAACTTTCTTCCTCTAACTATCTCCTTTGGAAGAATCAAATGATCCCTCTCTTTTCCTATCAAAACCTAATTTCTCATATTGATGGATCATCATCCCCTCCCGATCCTGAAATTACCCAAGGCAAAAAATTGGTCCCTAATCCTCTCTTTTCTTCTTGGTATTTGACTGACCAGAGGGCTGTTATTATTCTTAAAGCCTCTCTAACTGAGGAAGTAGTTGTTGAGATTATTGGTTTACCAACTGCCCGGAGTATTTGGCTGGCCCTTGAAGCCGCATACAACAATTCATCGATCGAACGCATTCAAAATTTGAGGGACCAACTTCGCCTGTCGTCAAAAGGGTCTGCCTCTGTTGCAGATTTTGGCCGAAGGTTTAAAAGCTTATGTGATTAACTGGCTGCAGTTGGGGCTCCAGTGGACATTTTCGATCAATTACATTGGTTTCTGTGTGGTTTGGGTCCATCTTTTGAGACTTTTTCCACCTCTGTGTGCACTTCTCATCAGGTACCAGTTTTTAGGGACCTTCTTGCCCAAGCAGACAGTCACGAAATGTTTCTCAAATCCCTTCATGGATCTACCTCACCACCAATAGCCTTTATAGCATACAACACTCCCCACCCACCCTCATCTCTAGGTCGTAACCCTTCCCGATCTCGTGGTGGTATCAGTGGTGGTCGTGGTAGAGGCCGACGCCCCCCTCATTGCCAACTTTGTCGGACAAATGGGCACTATGCAAACCAATGCCCAAATCTTTCTCAGTTTGCTACTAAGGCGATTTCCCCTGATGTTGATCTTGCCAAGGCTTTTCAAGCTCAGTGTCATGTTTCCTCATCTGCCCTGATTGGTATGTTGACTCCGGGGCTACCGACCACATGACGGCTTCTCCCGAGAGTGTTACTTCTGCCACACCGCATACTGGGCAAGCCTCTGTTACATTTGGAAATGGTAATAAACTTCTCGTATCGTATATTGGTTATGCTATGGTTACGCCGAATATCAAATTAAAAGATGTTTTGGTGGTGCCGTCTATCGAAAAAAATGTTCTATCAATTAGTAAACTAACTACTGATAATCCTTTGGGTGTCTTATTTTCACAACCGTACTTTTATATTCAGGACCGCCAGTCGAAGCAAGTCTTGGCCCAAGGAAGATGTGAAAATGGCCTGTATGTTTTATGCTCCGGGCCTCAAGCTCTTGTTGCTACCTCTCAATTAAAGGCATCTTTTGAGCTTTGGCATTTGCGGTTGGGTCACGTCTCACCTGACACTATATTGCTTTTGAATAGTTTATGTGTTACCTCCATACTTCCTAAACCGGTTTTGTGTTTGGCTCGTCAATTGTCTAAAAGTCGACGTTTATCTTTTGGTGTTAATGAACAAAGGGCTTCAAACCCGTTAGATTTAATTCACTGTGACTTATGGGGCCCTTCACCGGTTACCTCGGCTGAGGGTTACCGATATTATGTGCTTTTTGTGGATGATTATTCTCGATTTGGTTGGCTTTATCCACTACGTGCGAAATCTGACTTTTATGATGTTTTATCTATTTTTATAAACCTTGTGCAAAACCAATTCACGCGGAAGATTAAATTATTTTAAAGTGATGGAGGCACGGAGTTTGTCAACCATCGTGTGCAAAACATTCTTGCTACTAATGGCACATTTCACAGGCTCTCGTGCCCGTACACTCCCCAACAAAATGGTTGTGTTGAACATAAACATCGACATGTGGTTGAAACAGGGTTGGCTATGCTATTTAATGGACATGTTCCTACCACAGACTGGGTGTATGCTTTTTCCTCAGCAATGTATATTATTAATTGGCTTCCGTCGCCTGTTTTAAACGGCAAGTCCCCATTTGAGGTTCTCTTCTCTCGCCAGCCATCGTATGGAAACTTCCGGGTATTTGCTTGCCGAGTTTACACATATCTTCGTGATTATGCGCCACACAAATTAGCCCCGAGGAGTCTCCCTTGCATTTTTATGGGGTACTCATCTCAACATAAGGGATACCGTTGCCTTGATCCCATCACATCTCGTGTCTACATCACCCGTCATGCTCGGTTCGATGAAAGCTCTTTTCCATTTTCAAGTGAAAATAACAACTCAGATGCCTCTTTATTACCGCTGCATTCCTTTCGCGATGCACCATCTATGATCTCGTCTCCATCGAAAGCTCCTGCCCCTACCTCAACAACTCCGTCAGCTCCTTGTGATATTTTTTCAGATGACAATGATGGAGATGGCCCCTCCCCACCTAATATTATTTCATCCCAACCAGATGGGCTCTCATCTCCATCGTCTGGCCTTCCCTCCCCAGCTGCCACCACTAGCCCATCTACTTGCATCACGGGTGAGCCTTCTGTCACGATTGTCGAGCCCACAACCCAAGTTAACCAACCATCCGTTACGGTTATGTCAACACATCCAATGACGACTCGTGCTAAATATGGTATTTTTAAACCTAAACATCGGGCAGATCTAGCTCAAACACTTAACAACCCCTTATTTACTGCATTGTTTGCTTCTCGTGATCCAAAAGGATTCAAGTCTGCCATCAAAAGCTCACATTGGACGGATGCTATGCAAAAAGAACTGGCTGCTCTTTCTAATAACCACACATGGACGTTGGTTTCTCGTTCGACTTCACATAATGTGGTTGGTTCCAAATGGATTTTCCGTACCAAGTATCGTTCTGATGGATCCATTGAGCACTACAAGGCTCGTCTTGTCGCTCAAGGGTTTAGTCAAATTCCAGGGCTTTACCACTCTCATACGTTCAGTCCAATTGTCAAAGCATCGACTATTCAGGTTGTTCTGTCATTGGCTGTCATACATAATTGGAAACTTCACCAACTTGATGTTAATAATGCCTTTCTTCATGGGCATTTAAATGAACTTGTCTACATGGAACAACCCCCCGGGTTTGATGATTCTCTTTTTCCCAATCATGTATGTCGCCTCAACAAAGCAATCTACGGTCTCAAACAAGCCCCAAGGGCTTGGTTTCAGCGCCTGAGCAGCTTTCTCATTCGTAATGGATTCACATGCAATCACTCTGACCCCTCCTTGTTTGTTTTCTCTCAAGATTCGTGCATTATGTATCTACTGGTATATGTTGATGATCTCATCTTGACAGGGAATCAGGACAACGTTCTTACTTCCTTTATCTCTCAACTTTATCAGGAGTTTTCTATTAAAGACCTTGGAGATCTTAACTATTTCTTGGCCTTGAGGTTACTCGATCTTCCGATGGTCTATTTCTTAGCCAATCTAAGTATGCCCATGACATTCTTCATCGTGCTTATCTTCTGGAAGCTAAGCCTGTTCACACTCCGTTGGCTACTAATGAAGTATTCAACAGTCATGGTGTTCCTTACAAGGATCCGACTCACTATCGATCCCTTGTAGGGGCTCTTCAGTACTTGACCATCACCCGACCAGATATCTCCTATGCTGTTAACCAAGTGAGTCAGTTTCTCCAGACTCCTACCTACATTCACTATCAGCATGTCAAACGCATTCTTCGATACGTTAAAGGCACTTTGGATTTCGGTCTTTCCTTTTCGAAGCCACATCATACCTCCATCTTGGGTTAATCGGATGCTGATTGGGCTCGTTGTCTTGAGAATCGTAGGTCCACCTATGGCTACTCCATCTTTCTTGGTGGTAATCTTATTTCTTAGAGTGCTAAAAAGCAGTTGTCGGTTTCTCGCTCCAGTTGTGAGTCTGAGTATCGTGATATGGCCAACATCGTTGCCGAGATCATCTGGGTTACTCATCTTTTGCGTGAGTTGCATGCTTTACCACCTGATCGCCCTACCTTACTTTTTGATAATCAAAGTGCCATATTTCTCTCTCAAAATCCCGTTGCTCACAAACGGGACAAGCATATTGACTTAGACTATCATTTTATTCGTGAGCTTGTTTCGTCGGGGAGGCTGCACGCTCGTTTTGTTCCAACCAAGCTTCAAGTTGTGGATATCTTCACCAAGAGTCTTCCTCCTCCTCAATTTGAGTTCTTTCGTGCCAAGTTACGTCTTGGTCCGCCACCGTTTCGCTTGCGGGGAGATAATAGCTAGAATAAATTATTGTATTTATTTCTGTTGTATTTTACTCATTCTTGAGGTAGTCTTTGTGTAATTTTCTTTTCTATTTAAGTATTGGATCCCCTCCATTGTGGGGCATCGAAGTGTCTCTTACACACACAATGTAATTATATTTAATCTCTTCGCTTTATCATGAATTGTGAATCGATAATATGGTATGAATTGCAAAAGAAAATTCAATTGATAAAAAAACAAAAAAAAAGTCAAAAACCTTAGTAACGTTGCCTATGAAAAATAAATTAACTTCAATTGGCAGAGAAATACATGTAGATATACATATATACATACACGCTAAAACATTTGCTTCAATTGGTGGTCAAAATCTAGAGATAAAATCAATTAGAACACATACGTTGCCGACTGGTATGTTTAGAACTAATTCCAACTTGTTTTAAGATAAATTCATGATCTCGTTGTTTTTTAAATTCACAATCTCAATTTTTCTTGAAATTCAATCACGCTTCCTAAAAGCAATTGTGATCAGAGGTGTTACATGAAGTTATTGATGTTATAAAAAATGAATGTCTTGTTTATCTATTGTTTGGATATGAAACGTCATACAAGAACATGTTTTTAGAAATCATACATCAACATTCACAATCAGATGAATATGTGCTTTTTTTTATCTATTGTTTATGAGAATTTTTTATTTTAGTTATTTATATATTTTTTGATAATTGTGACCATTAATAGAAAGTCAGTAGCATGTTTGTGTTTTTTTACTGTTAGATTTCATCTATGTGTTGGTCTACCAAGTGTGAATGTAATGCTACTTTTAAAGCTTCAAGAATACAAATTTAAAAAGAGAAGTTAAGAAACTTGCTTAAGATATATCTAGTCAAACAACACATGAAGAGTTGTTGTGGTCCAAAATGGTAAAATCTGCTTTCTTCCCTAACATTAGAACTGCCAATTCCTATAACAACTTTTGAGCATTTGCACTACATGTAATTCACATGTAAATCACAAGTGAATCACATATGAATTACATGTGGTTCACATGTAATTTACATATGAATTACATGTAATTCGCATATGAATCACATATGATTCACATGTAAATCACAAGTGAATCACATATGAATCAAATGTGATTCACTAGTAAATAACATGTAATTCACATACAAATCACACGTGAATCACATATGAAGTACATGTGATTCACATATAAATCACATCTAATTCACATTGGAATCACATGTAAATCACATGTGATTCACATGTAAATCACAAGTAAATCACATATGAATTACATGTGATTTACATGTAAATCACAAATGAATCACATATGAATTATATGTGATATACATGTATCTCATATGTGATTCACATATGAATTACATCTATATGCACACATATATTTTGTATGAGTGTTCTTCGTTATTTTTTTAAAATTTTTCTTGTGAATTTCACATTTAAATCTTAAAATGTACATATGAAGTACATGTGATTCACATGTAAATCACAAGTGAATCACATATGAATTACATGTGATTCACATGTAAATCACATCTAATTCACATTGGAATCACATGTAAATCACATGTAATTCACATATGAATCACATGTAATTCATTATTCACATGTAAATCACAAGTAAATCACATATGAATTACATGTGATTCACATGTAAATCACAAGTGAATCACATATGAATTACATGTGATATACATGTATATCATATGTGATTCACATATGAATTACATCTATATGCACACATACATTTTGTATGAGTGTTCTTCGTTAGTTTTTTTAAAAAAATTTCTTATGAATTTCACATTTAAATCTTAAAAAATACAATCACATGTGAATATCACATTATATAATCACATGTTAATTTTACATGATATATACATATGCATTTTTGTGAGTGTTCTTGGATTAATCAATTTTTTTAAAAAAAATTTCTTGTAGATATAGAAGCATATGTGAAAAATATTGAAGAGGTAAAAAGTGATAAATTGAAGAAAAATATGGAAATCTTGACACGAAGGCGTGAAAACGCTTTGAAATTTTGTAGCATTTTTATTTTATTTTATTATGTATCGAATAAAATATTATACTATTGTGTTTATAAATTAGTAAATAAAATGGTTTTTATTATTTCTTACGAATATTGTAGTATAAGAAAATATGCATAAATGCACTCGAAAAAATATGCATACATGCACCTAAAACGTTGATTTTTGTTGGTTAAAATAATTATAGTTTTTTTTAATATTCTATTTTTCTTAATTTACTGGGTTTTAAAAGTTATTGTTTTTAAAAAATTTGTAGTTTAAAAAAAATTGTACACTTTTTTAAAAAAATCATGTTTTCTAAAAAAAGTTCAAAAATCGGTATTTTTTAAAAAAATCAAAAATAATTATTCATTTTTAAAAAATCCGAAAAATTGATTTATCATGTTAATTTTTAGACATTTTTATTAATATTTCCAATAACTCAAAAAATTAAACATTAAGTGAAATTGGTAAGATGACGATGATGTCCTTAATGAATTAATTTTGATCTAACGCTCCACCTTTAGTTCTTTGGAAACTATGAGTTGGATCTCACCCCTATATATATATAATAATAATAATAATAATAATAATAATAAGATGGGAAAAGTGAATATACATTACAGCCCCACCTAAGCTTAGGTACTAAACCTCATGAAACTACGTCATTTTATTAGCTAAAGATTGTAATTAGGGGATTCATGATTAACACTTGACGTTGCGGATTCAATATCAAAGCAAATAATTTTGATAGAGAAGCAAAAATGTTAATTATCTTTGACCTTCGTGATGATGGAAAATAGTAATGTTCACTGACGTGAAGTAATAAACGATGATGGAGGAAAGAAAACATGGATGGTTAAACGATAATAGAGAAAAGAAATGCAATGGGGAATTGTATATTTACCAAGTGAAAACTGAATCAGTTATATTACTAATATAAAATTGCATAATTTAGAGGTTTAGTACCTAAATTTACATAGGGTTGTGATGTATATTCCCTATCCCCTAATATATATATATATATATATATATATATATATATATATATATATATATATATATAAAAAGCATATTCAACATTACTTGAATTTTAAAAGGTACAAAATCCAATACATCATGTACAATCACGTTATGCTTTTTGTTCACTACACATATAAGGTATCAATTAAATTAAATTAAAAACGTAATGTAGCATTAAGGAGCACCTACATAGAAACCCTAATTGGATGCTTCTTTTTTCTCCCACACCACCATCGACCAGCAGTGAAGCAGCATCCACTCTCCAACCTCGCAACACCCTCCGTTTCCACCATCTCTCTGCCCTCGCAACTCCTACCACTACGATCCATCTCTGCCTCTCGCTACCCTAACTTACTATCCATCCCCGCCACCACTCATCGTCACAGACAACGCAATCGCCACTGACCCCACCTCCGCCACCATCTGGTGGTTATGTGTCGGCGGCCCACCTCCCTTACCAGTGTGTCATTTTCTATATGTATCTGGTGATCCGGGCCTCACCAACACTCGAATCTCTCTGCAACCTGCTCCTCCCTCTCATCATCGTAGTTATCAAGAAGCTTAAACTATCGTCGTTTCCAAGAAGATTGAGCCATCGCTGCTGTTAAAACCCTTGTGTCATCAACCTTCTCGCTGTTTTTAACCATCTTTTCAGTGGAGAAGCTTGAAGCACATCAAACGCCTCTTCCTACGGCCACAAAATACTGCCAAGCTTAATCAGAAGGATTTTACGATTTTCAAACCATCTCTCTTTCTCTCTATAAGAAAATCCCTAATTTGGGAACAAGGTAAATCTCTGTTTTTTCCCTTTCTATTTATAAGAAACCCCATAATATGTTATGTTTAAATTTATGTTTTTACAGGTTTGCTTAAAGATTTTTGTGTACATTCCTCTTTCTCTTTACCTCTCAATAAATATGTATAATTTGTTATGCATATATCTATTATGTCTAACATTGACATATTCATTGTGCAGATCTGACATTTTGATATGAAATGGGTTATTTGAAGGTATACATTTTGTCCAACACGAAAAATCCCATGAAAAAGATACAAACTTCCTATTAAGAATTCAGGTATATGCTACTATCCATTCTTAATTTTCTAAGTATTTATTCACCATTATGAACTTCAGTTATAAGTTGGGTGAATGATTTTTTTTGGATGTTGCTTTGGTATCGATTCACTTTTATGTATGTCATATTTGTATATTAAGTAGTTTTTTCATCTATTCCAGATTCTTATTGTTGTTTTCGAGAGACTGGAATTGGAACTTTGGACTAAAAGTATGTAGGTTTGGCTGGCCTGTTTGTCAATTGTGTGTGTATAAAGTGATTGGTTGTTGATTTTGAATATCACCAAAACCAAAATCATCCAATATTCCTAGGAAACGTGCACCCTGTGGAAGTTCATGATTCACAAGTTGGTATTCGGTAAGTTTATTCTCCACCTGCAATAATTAAATGATAACATGCCTTACAATTACATTTATATAAAAAAGAAGACGAGACAAAGGTCCTGCTTCTGGAAGATTTGATTTTTTGTAGAAACAAATTTACAGTAATCAGTATTTTTTTTTCTTCATAAATTGAAGTTATTACCTATTTGTGATTTTGAGTTTTCACATGTTTCTACAATTTAGTTGATAAGTTAAAAGTTGCATCTATGTTTCATCTTCTGGATCAAAGAAGATAAAGTTTTTATTGTATCATTTGTTTGTACATCTTGGCATCCTACTTTCATTTTTCTGTTTATTTGTACATCGTCACTTCCTACTTTTCCTGTTATTGTTATTTACTACTGATGGTTCAAATGATGGTGCTTTGCAGAAAGCATTAGTGGGAGGGGGTAAGATAAATGACGATATGTAGAATTTTACATTTGTGCATTTCTCTGTTAAGCTTTGTGTGCATCCTTGTGTAATTGATTTGTTAGAATTTTTTAGCCAGATGTTTCTAATATCATAATATGAAAGAGCATTATGAGAAATAGCATTATACTTTGTATGTTGCAAGTGTATCATCAATTTAATATTCTAAAGAAATGTGAACTAAATCTTTTGTAAGGGGTATAATTAAACTCATTCTCCCTTTTTTTTTTTGCAGGAGATGAATGGTTTCACCTGGTTTGATTTCAACATAATTTAAAATTATAATTTCATTCGGTGGTTTTCCGTTCAAGGGAAGCTAAAAACTCAAGATATATTTAAAAAATGGGATGCTGATCTTCGATTGTGTCATCCTTTGTACAGTTGTGAACCAGACTTTCGTTGTGTTGAAAAGAATTAATAAGAAAATTAACCAATATTTATATTGATTGTTCTTGGAATTCATGAGTAATTAATCTTGATAGCTTACTGAATGTAAAAACTATTAATAATGTAATAAAAAATAGTGGTTGTATTTATCAGTGATGATTTTTATTGCAATTTGTTGGTTTTAAAATAATTATGTGGGTCTTTGGGAAGAAGTTCGTGCGGATTTAATGCTATACTTACCACTTTTAAAGATAGAAAATGGCGATATGATTTTTTGTTTTAAGATCTGAATATGATTTTTTGATATTTGATTTCTTTTCTTATACTATCATATGTATTGTTTATTGTACTTTTTAGGTATAATTGTTTTATTAATATTTCGTATAAAATGAATTTGGATTCAATGACACAATATGTATATTTTAAAAATTATGGCACATAATCTCGAAACCTTAAATGTTGAATGTTAATCGGACTAGGCGAGATTGATCGGGTATCTTAAATTACTAATAAAATTATTTAAAAATTATTATATCATAAAAAAATAAGTATTTGAATATTTGAAAATTTTGTTATAATATTTTTAAATTTATAAATTTGAAAACTTGAAAATTTAAAATTTTAAAAGTTTTGGTGTAAATTTTGAAAAGAAAAAAATTTGAATTTTTTAAATATTTCCCGTCTATGACCGCCAAGGACCGTCAAGTCTGAGTTTGACCGATTTTGACCAATTTCTGCCAAACACCCTAATCATAATCGGTTCACGGCCGCCAAACGATTAATGAGAGCCTAAAAACCCAAATCTAAACCGAAAAATATGAATGCAAAGACTTTTAGGCTGGACTGGTCTGGACTATACTGAGACTAGAATCTTTGATATATATTTAAAACTTAAAAATAAAGCTTAGTGGTTTGTTGGTATTACTATTATTAAGCTATTAACAACACGTTTTGAAATAAAGCTTAGTGGTTTATTTTTATATTATATTTTAAAAACTAACTAATTATCTAAAATAAATTCAGAAATTATAAAATAAACCGATGAAGGGATTAGCGGATCAAATATTTTTTTTTTCGAAGTGTTACTTAGTTTTCAAACATCATTACGTATTTAAGATAAACAGGCAACAAGCTGTGCCGCTAACTCTTTTCCAAAACAATTTATTAGGATGTGAAGAAATATTAGCTAACTCAAATTTAAATAAATTCTTTTCTGACAATAATTTCGATGTATTTGAGAATGATCAAGTTTAAACATATAATTATAAAAGAATATTTTAGTAATTACAGTAAATATTTTTTTCAATAGAAAGTAAATACAATAATAAATTATTTTATTTTCAACAGATAAAATGAAATATACACAAATATAATATTATTTACAAATGTCTCCTCAAATCTTTTGGAATATATACTTTTACATGTTGCTTCATTGCGCTACCTTACAAAATCAATCAATGTACTTTTCTTTTTAATCTAAAACAACCACGTATATTATAGATAATGTTTCTATAATGAAACTAACAGTGAAAAAACAATGTATATCGATAAAAGCACTTATAAACCAACAAATGACTATTACTAGAAAGTATTTGACGTTCAACAAATCGACGCCCGAACAAAAAAACTTTAAACAAAAAAACTATATACCGATAAAAGAACATAGAGCAACAGATTAGACATGATATGAAACTATTACGCCCCCACGTCTACTTACCTAGCTAGAAAGTATTTACCGAAAGGACTATCAGACACAAAACAACCCGTCAAAAGGCTGAATTGAACTATCTGAAACGAAAAAGAAACTAATCGCCGCATGGAAACTATCACCCGTGAGGCAGTATCTCGCGCTGCCGCATCGCGCGGGTACACTAGTAGTATATATATATATATATATATATATGAAAATATTATACATCTCCTTTTTCATTTTAAATGTATTAGCTACACTATGATTTAATAAGATTATATATATATATATATATATATATATATATTTCATGGTTGGCGGCCTTGTATAGGTTTTTTTGACATGGAAGAAACTAGAGCTTGCTTTGCGTGGGACGCATGCATATATCATCACTCACACTTCAACCTCTCCCCTTGGGTCCATATAGATATTCAGTATTTAATGATATTTCATGTTACTTGTTTGTATATTGTGTTTGATTTATAATATTCATCAGAATAAAATAAAGCATTAGGATAGATTAAAAGTTTATCGTTTGGAGCAACTTTTTGTGTGGAGTTTTTATTTTTAATGAAAAAAAAACCAAACAATTAAATGAATTTTTTTATTTTATTTTTATTATTAAAAAAACTTATTCAATTTGTTTATTTATTAGATCAAATAATTTTGTTTTTTCCATTAAATAAAATTGTATAAATTATTTGTTTACAATTGATTATGTTGAAAACATAAATGATTCATCTACTTATTGAAAAAATTAATAACAAAAGTTTATTAATTAACATGATCTTTGAAAAAAAAAATATATCCATTAGTTTTTCTAATTTTCAAAAGAATTTTGATTTGAAAAATTCGAAAAAAAATGTTTCACGGGTAGGGGTGCAAACGAGCCAAACTATTCGGGATCGGCTCGTTAAAAGCTAGACTCGAAACTGATTTTAAACGAGCTCGGGCTGAGCTCGAGCTTAATATTAAGCTCGTTTGTTAAACGAGTTCGAGCTCGAGCCTATGTCATTAAGCTCGATTAGACTCGCGATCCTAAACAGGTCTATATATAATATAGTTTATTATTATTTTTATATATTAAAATAAAACATATTTAGGGAATTAGAGATTTAGTGTATTAGTAAACGAGCTTCTTAACGAGCTCGAACCGAACTTAAGCTTATTTAGATAAGTTAGACAGAAAACAAGTCGAACTCGAAACCGAGCTGAGCTAGTATAATTCTTTACGAGCTTGAATCGAGCTCAATAGAAGAAAGCTTGAATCGAGCTCGAGCTCGAGCATTGTATAACTTAAACGAGCCCGATGCTCGGGCTCGGCTCATTTGCACCCCTATTCACGGGTGCTATGGATTGTAAACATTTTAGAAGTATCTTAGAAAGATCATGATACTTTTTTGTAAATGATTTTCATTTTTTTAACGGCCAACACTATAAGATTTTTGTGTTTTATATATGAACATTTATTACAAAATGATATATTATAATTATAAATATATATTTATTATCATGTCATTTTTTAAATAAAAACAAAAGATATTTTTTATTTTATTTTAATTGTATATAGAGATTTCATAGTACTTTAATGAATTTAATAATTTATTTCGGATAGTAATTTTGAAACAATAAGTAAAAGTTTATTTTCTTATCCTGAAACATATATAATATATTTTTGATGAACATTAAAATATAAATATAGTTAATTTATTTAATAGTATATTTATATAATTTTTTTAAAAAAATAACTATATCAATTTAATGCAACATCCATAAAAATCATGCCAAATTTAAACTTTTAAAAATATTCCAAAACCATTGATTATTACAAAAGTTGTTTCCAAAATAGTTTAGTGTCAAACTATCCCAGAATCAAATCATAAACAATAGGAGGTGTACGATCATGCATTCGCCTTCCCGCGATCCTCAGAAGTACCTGAAACAAAATCAACAACTTTAAGCCCGAAGCTTAGTGAGTTCCCCAAAATACCCATACGTACATCAACATACATATAACACAAACAACATACTATGGGTCCAATCAACCATCAGGTAGGAATACCCAGACCCTCAACTATCGGGTTGGAATGCCGATCATACTATAGGTCCAGTCATCCTCGGGATGGAATACCCCAGGCCCACAACCATCGGGTTGGAATGCCCTCATACTACGAGCCCAATCATCATCGGGATGGAATACTCATGGCCCACAACCATTGGGTTGGAATGCCCAGGTCTGTTGGCTCTTGCACAAAGCAGATGAGCCTCAACCACCAATCAAACATGTACACATATAATAGATAATCACATAACAGTTTATAGACAGACAAACCGATCTAACGAATCATAACCACATAATAACATCCTATCTACCAGGATACTGATCTAACAGATCATAATAGCATAATACCATACTATCTACCAGGATATTGATCTAACAGATCATACTAGCATAACATATCAGGATAACAATCCAAAAGGGCCGGCCTTGGTGCCTTAGACCCTTGGGTATAGTGAGGAAAACTCACCTCACAACTGTCGAATTGTAGTGATAAGCTCAAACTCTCGAGCCACAGCTGCGAACTCCACCACCTATATTTACCATAAATCCATTTCCATAAATTTCCAAGTTACCAAAATACCCCCAGAAGTCAACTGGTAAACCCTTGGTCAAAGTCAAAGTTGTTGGATTAGGTGTCTAAGCCCATAACTATAATTGGTATGTACTTGAATTGATAGCAGCACAGTCCTTTTGGGTTGCCCTCAAACCTAGCAACTGGACAAGGAAATTATGAAAGGAGAGATATTGATTTATTATAAGATTAATAAATTAATATAAATGATTTATTAGTATGTTAAAGGATTAATATATTAATTAAAAATCATAAGGTTTAATTAATAGTTAGCCAGAAATTAATTAGAATTAATTTTGGGGTTAATTGTATTAATTATAAAGTGTAGGGACTAGTTTGCAATTATCAAATAGTTGAGTGGAAGGCTCCAGAACCTCCTTGGAAGGAGGTGGACAAAATCTATAGGGGAAACCCTAAGGATTTCGTCCAAGGGGCTTTGGATAAGGCCTTTGGATTAGCTTAGGCCCCAAGCAAAGGAGTATTAGGGTTTTCCCTAAACCCTAGATCCCTCAGCTATATAAGGAGCCTCCCAGCTCCTAAATTGGGCCACTCCTTCCTTGGTGGAACCCTAGGGCCGATTTTTGCATACCCTACTCTCTCTCCTTCATGTTTCCTTCTTGCTAGCTTTTGGGTGTGACTCCATTAGAGGCATTACATTTGTGGTGCTAGGCTTCCAAGAAGATCAAGTTCAAGAGGATTAACAATTGTTTGCTATAACAATTGAAAGGTATGTAATTCTAAAACCCTAATTAGT